GTAACGTACTACTACTACGACCAACCTAAAACTAAAAACTAAAACCTTTAACCCTTTAACCCTTACTATAGTAGTACTACTAACTACTACGTACCTACTACTATATATATATATATATATATATATATATATATATATATATATTGGACGTGATTTGCATCATACCTTCATTTAAATGTTCTCAGAAAAGGACATCTCCTCAAAGATAGTATGTCTTGATATAGTTTCTTTTAAAATTTCACTCACAATTAAGTACATCTTGAGAGTTTAGCTCTTGCAGAAGTCAAGCTGGTTAGTCATAAAATCATGAGAAGGTTACATTAACAATGTCTTGATGTAGTTTCTTCTAAAATTCCCATCACAATTAAGTACATCTTGAGAGTTTAGCTCTTGCATAAGTCAAGCTGGTTAGTCATAAAATCATGAGAAGTTTAGGTTAACAAATATTTTCAATTTCTCAAACTGTTATGTAGAGACTTCAAATTTTGTTAGCTTAATAAATTCCATTCGTATTTCTCTTAATACTGGAGGCACAAAAGTTAAATATCACTCGAAGCTACCAAAATATAGATTACACAAACTGACAAAGATCATTGTGTATAGGAAAACATTACCCCAGAAGAAAACCAATCCCCTTTAGGAGTTGGAGTAATAAGAGAACGTATGGCATCAACAACAGACACAGCAGTTGAGGCAGCTGAAGATCGACCCCATTTCTGAATTAGAGCGCCTCCTCTCTGCAAATAGTGCCAAGACTTGTTACTGAGTATTTTAAACATAAACTGAGGAAATTATAATATGGGCCATTATGACTAAAATAAATATTACTTTAATCAAATGGTTGTGGGCATCCTATTGTCAGTTTCATCATTATGAATATATTTTTCTCTTCCCATGTAGCAGAAGTTTCAGTCAGCATAAAGACTAAATCATCTTAAAATTATTGCCATGCTACCTACCTTCTGAACTTTCTCTGTGAACTCTTGCTCTAGCCACTTTGTATCAGTGATGACCTCCTTCACGGGCATGCCATGGATTCTTGCATTTAAGAAATCAGGAACCTAAGGAAACATAATAAAAGCATGTGACTGATTTTGAGATATTTTTGTCAAGTACCTATTTACACATAATTAAGTGAGATAGAATAAGTAGAGGGTAGTAAACAGCTGTGGGCAACAGTGAAGGGCCCATTGGGAATGGAAAACATAAGATTACAACATCACAATAACCGTAAAATTGCTACCTACAGATATATGGTAAATACCATTCGCTAACCTGTGTAGTTGAATGGTTTCCCCAAATTGTGACATTCGACACCTTATCATAAAAAACACCAGCTTTCAGGGCTAGCTGCGCATATTACAACAGAATATAGCTTCACTGCTATGGTTCTCAGAATTCTCTGCAAGGACTAAGGAATTTGACAATGTAGGCCACTAACTTCTTTGAAGAAGGTAAATCGACATAACAAATATGCCTCGCCAATCAGTTTGACAGGAGCAAAACAAGTTACCTGGCACTTGGCCCTGTTCTCATCCAATCTAGTGAGAGCGTGAAAGTTCTTTGCCGGAATATCAGGTGCATTCTTCAAGCAAATAAGGGCACTGAAAAAGCACACAAACTATCTACAGTGTTTTGCTAGATAAAACATGAAATATCATTGGAGATAATTTCTATGTCAAGACAAATCTTACTTTGTATTGCATGGATTGCCCACTACTATTACTTTAACATTACGAGAAGCAACTGCATTGAGTGCTTTTCCCTGAAAAATATGAGCCAAACAAAAATCATAAAAATGAAAGCATGAAAACGAATGTACCCAGAATATCCCAATAACTAAGACATAATAATACCAGTCACTGAACTAACCTGCTCTGCAAAAATCTGGCCATTTATGTCAAGCAAACCTGCACGTTCCATTCCAGGCCCTCGAGGCTTTGCCCCTATCAAAAGTGCCCATTCTGCATCTTGGAACACCTCATAGGGATCAATGCCTATACTTACCTCTCTCAGCAATGGATACAAAGAGTCTTCCAACTCCATTGCAACTCCTAAGAAAGTACAAAATGTCAGGATCAATTCGCAGAAACTTCAGAGGCACTGTGCAACTCATTACAAGTTCTCAAGCTGAATGATGAAAAGGAAGGCCACCATGCCCCTTTAAAGAAATTGTAAACAATGATTTCCGAAGGAATTGTGCTAACATTAAATTTCTGCTTAATTTTCACATTTATGGTTTGACTATATACTTTCAAGAAAAATGTACATTTCTGGGAAAATTGAAGAGACAACTCCCATGCCAGAGATGCTCCCATACTGGCCCAGTTTACATACACAAGAGTGCATTTTATTTTATATCCAAGGGCCCTTTTATGGTTGGGTAGCTAATAAGCTTGTGGTTATCATCATGTGATTTTGAAGTGGTTGTCTCAACAAGTTCAAATTTAATATCCATGAAATTCATCCATACTTTCAGAGATGAAATTCCTTCATTTTAACATTACATTCCAAGAAACATATGCATTCAACAACTAATCGGTAACTCTGCATGACAGGATGTTCAACATTGCTATGGCCCTGTAAAATTGTTCTATAAGAAAATCTGTTTTGTAATGGTTTAAACATAAAAGTTGCAGTAACTACATTGAGTACCACATGATTTGTCAACCTCTAGGACTGAAAGAGTACATGTAGTTGGATGGTCAACTGCTAACAATGGACCAGAAAAAGGTTTTATGCAATACTGACCTAATTGCTAGCCAGTAACTATGATGACTCCTTAGGAAGGTGTTCTACAGCCATCATGATAGACAGGAATACAATTGCAGGTTTTGCTATAGACTTAAATAACACTATCTCGCACATTCATCTTGGTCTTGAACATAATATGTGTTTAAATTATAGAGTCTACAAGGTGCTCCATCATATAGCTGAAATCATTTGTCCACTTTCCTAGTTGACCATGATTAAAAGGGCTTCAGTCTCATATCATAAGTAATATGCACATTCTACTATGTAGGACATACTCTAGAAAGTGATTAAAATAAACTATTAAATTCATCCATGGGATTCCAAATGGGTTCCATACTTTTAAAGGGATTAGGCAGGGCGATCCCCTCTCCGCATTCCTATTCTCTGTAGTGGCAGAAACCTTAATTCTGATAATGATAGACAACGCCTATGGAAAATGCCTGCTGACAGGCTTCAAGGTGACTCAAGGAGGTTCTTCCATGTCTCATTTGCAGTATCTTGCACTTAAAATTTTGTTAAGCGACAAGGTTGCAATTGCACAATCTCTTTTTATCTCTACGATGTTTTGAGGTAGCACTTGTTCAAAGTTGACTGGTGTGGCAATGCATGATCATGACGTGGAATTCCTAGCTAAGTTTATTGGCTATGGCATGGATTGCCTATCAGAGATTTGGGACTATCATTAACTTTCGGTAAACATTTTAAACAATGTGAAGGGTTGTTATATATTTGTTTCAGAGGAAGTTGGACCTTTCGAAACTAGACTTCTATAGATTAGTGGAACAATCACCTTGATGAAGAAGCCAACCTTATCTGATTGGCCTATTTACCACGTCAATTTTCTCAAGCACAGCCTGGTTGGCAATACAATTGAAAGATTAATGAAACGGTTCCTATAGGGTGGGTCACAGAAAAGGCATAGCTTCTATCCACCAAGCAGGCAAAGGGTGGGCAAGCTAAAAACTACAGGGTGGTTTTTATTCAAAAGTTTACAGGATATGAACCCGGCCTTGTTAACAAAAGGGCAGTGGAGGTATGGATCAGAACCACTTCACATATGGAAGAGCATAGTGTTGAGTAGATATAGGGCTTAGGAATCAGGAAGGTTTATGAAAGAGCAGCGCACCAAAGGTAAATTATCTGGAGTGTGGAACGGGATTAATAGCTGTTGGTGTACCTTCATTAGCAACAGGCCACTTCCTCTTAGAGAAGTTTACACAGAGTTGTTTGCATTGGTCACAAGGATAGGTATAAAAGTAAGAGATCTATGACGAGCCTTGGTTTACAGGCAATATGGACCCCAGTTCTGCACTGTGCTCTGAAGGACCACAAGATCATGGCTTTTACACTTTTACAAGAACATTTGCAGAATTTCTACTATTGCCAAGAGGTGAATATGCTTTGGTTTGGAAACTTCAGAGTAAAGGGCTGTTCTCAGAGAGGTCTATGTGTAAACTTTTTAGTAGTACTAGGAATTCATAGACTTCATTGTGGTCAATCCCAGGTCCTCATATCCAAGTTATGAAAGGAGTTTTGGGGGTATATTGTGGTGGACTTTATATCCCACAAGGGGTTTGCCAGGAAAAGGCTTCCAAGAGAAAATAAGTTTATAAAGTGGAGTCCTACCCCCAAGGGCGTTTTAAAGTCATATTTCAACAAGAGCTTTAGGGGAATCTATGTCCTGCAGGAGTGGGGGATTTTGCAAGGGAACACCAAGGGAAGATACTTCTCAGATAGTCAGGGGCCAGTTCCAGAATTGGGCGCAAATGAAGCCAAAACATGGACCCTATTACATGATCTTAGTGTCATAGATGAAAAATGGCAGCAAATGGTTATTAAAGAGATTTTATAGCATCGGACAGTGGTAAGGATTCATGCCCGTGGCACTTTAAATTTTTTTTTTGATGAAACTAGTATGTTAGAGGTGCAATTCAATCACTCTTGTTGGTAGACCAGAAGTACAGCTGATGCATGGGTAAGGGAAGGGGTCCCAAAGACCTGGTTGCTACAAAGTTTTGCAGCTTACTTGTTTTTAAAAAAAGAAATACACTTACATGTAACTCAAGTTTGAGTAATGAAATTAAAGTTAGAGATTTACAAAAAAAAAATATTAAGTAACAAGTTTCGGTGATCTTATTCCACATCTTTATGTCATTAACATTATTGTTCTTGGAATAACCGATGTTTACACCATAGTCTTATACAATCTCTTGAAAATATTTTGGACGTCTTTAACATAATTTGTGAACTGTGGGTAGGGCTGGCAATGGGTAAGGCAGCTAGGCCCAGCCTCGCCCGACCTTAAAAAACTAGGGTGTGGGCCACAAAATACGGTCTAAAGGCCAGGCCCAAGCCACGCCAGGGCCATATTAGGTCCTGTGAGGCTTGACCTTTCCTGGCCGGTGTTTCCCTTATTTCTATCTTATTTTTTAAAAGTTAATTACTCCCTGCCCTTTCGAGACCGTGGTAGGGCCCCTTCAGCCCTGGACGGCCCTATAGGGATCAGGGCTTGGCTCGGGCAGGCTCGGCCTATTGCTAGATCTAATATTTGAGGGGGTGGTCCCTCCTTAGGGCTTATCTCTCTAAGACCATAGAGAGATTATTCTAATATTGCTATGATTTAAACCCACGAGCTGAGAATATTAACTTGCTTTCTGATGCTGTGAACCTTCATTCTGATGTGACCTCTGTGGGCCCAATTTGGTTTCGTAGTATGCAAAGAGGCAGTTCAACATTTCCTACTCTATGCTGAGGTGAAATAGCAATCAGTGCAATATGGTACACTGTAGATCATATGAATGATCTTCCTTTATGTTAGCATTCGTGTCTAATTATGAAAGCCATTTACCTTATAATGTTACAACCTTAATACTTATATTCAGCTATCATTCCACTTTCCATGCCTGAACCAAACACATTGAAATCAATTATCATTTTATTCGTGAAGTCATCCTATAGCTACTCATTTTGTTTCTCTAATTCTCCAACTCGGCCGGTATATTTACTAAAGCACGTCTACGCATCTTTTGCACTATCGATTGGTTCAAAAGCAACCTGACCTCTAATCATAATTTACTGTCAAACATGAGGCAGAGGGTCAATAGGTTTTTATTTACTATATACTCATAATGTGATATCTTTCTTTTACTGAAAATTTTAATTTTCACTAAATTTTCTTACATGAGCACATCTACATACCTAGGCATACTTTTCCCTCTCTCTCTCTCTCTCTCTCTCTCTCTCTCGTCGTCGTCGTCGTCGTCGTGTGTGTGTGTGTGTGTGTGTCGTGTGTGTGTGTGTGTAGTAGTAGTAGTAGTATACGTTACGTTACGTTCGTTACGTTACGTTACGTACGTTCGTCGTTAC